TCGACCGGCCCATTATGTCTCCAAGCCTCGGTATTCTGCTCTGTGAATTGGGAACTCGACCCCTTTGGGCGTAAGAAGCTGGCCCCAGAGGGTGGTTGATATGGGTGGTGTGTGCCTTCACTGCACCTTGCACTCCCCTCTCACCCTGGGGGCCGCCGTGTGCCTTCAAGTCGTTCTTGCCTCCTGGGGGGGGCCCCATCGGCATTGGTGGGCCTATAGGAGGTGCCCTTGAGCAGCAGGTGGGGAGGGTCTTGTTGGGAGGCGCGGCCGGGTGTCCAGACGCAGGGAGACATGGAGGCTGGAAGTTGTGGGCCACGCGTGGACCGGCTGTAAATCAGAACTGGGGACATCCATCTCCCACAGGACACCCCCACTCCCTCCTCAGGCGTCGGGCCTCCAGGAAGCTGGGCGGGCGCCGAGCTGACATTTCCTGCTATTAATGGAGCCTAATCTAAACAGGCCCTAATATTTACCTCCAGACGCCTCCGGCCTCAGAGGGTGCCAGATAGAGAGAGTGATGGGCCGCATCCAGCCAGCCCCCCTGCCACCTCGGTGCTTCCCTGGCCCTGCAGGAGACCAGGCCGTGTGTGTGCTGGGAGCCGGGCTAACTCTCAGAGCCTCGGGTTCCCCATCTGTGAAGTGGGGTGAGGTTCAGAAAATGGGACAACCCAACAGGCACTTATTAGGCCCACAAGGAGTGCTGATCTCTCTCCCTCAGCCAGCTGCGCCATCCCCTCCTTCTCCCTGCAAGGCATACCTCTGCTGATATGACAGGATGCTGTAGGCTGTTCTGGCTGCCCCATCCACATCCCTGTCCACATCCTCTTCCCGGGCAGGCGGAGTTGGGACCAGGAAGAGGGTGAGGACCATCATTTCGCTGGTCTATGCCCTTCACCTAGCCACCATGCCCACACCCGGCCCACAAGTCCGTCACTGCACCCCTCCATCCCATGCCCCATAGAGCTGGGCTGGGCTTGAGGCCCCTAGACCAGCTGCCACCAGGAACCCAGGGCCACAACCTTCCCGGCAGCCCCTGCCCATCCACAGAAGAGGGAGGGGACATAGAGGCCCCCCGCTTGGCTCAGGGTCCCCCACCCGACCCCTGCTGGGCAGCCAGGGAGATGAGTCGTGGGCACGAAGGGAATAAACAGCTTTAATTCAGGACGAAGACTTCTCGTTAGGAGAGTGTTTACATCAGATATAAATACACGCACCAGTTCACGTCACTGCTTCTTGACAGTCCGGGAAGGAGGCTGTGGGGAGGGGGTATGCAGAGAACTGGTAGCCTGACCTCTGTGAGACCAAGGACAATTCTGGTCTGATCTGGCCTCCAGAGGCTCCTGGGTCCCCACAGAGTGGGAGTGAGTCAGCCGTCAGAAGGAGGGAGCAAGGGTGGGAGGGTGTCGATGGGACCCTGCCTGCTGTGGGGGCCCAGACAAGGTCATGGGGTGAACAGTCCCCCGCCCCCTGCCCTCCCACTGCAAGGCTAGGAGAGGGAGGAGAGGAGTCAGGTGCGGGTAGACTGAGTCTGGCCTAGTTCAGGTGCTGCGTGTTGGCCTTCTGGCTCCCAAAGCCTGGGCCTCGGCCCCAGAAGACAGGCAGCCAGCGCTGCCAAGCACGAGTGGTGGCCTCAGCCCTCAAGTGTCATTTACCTGCTCGTCCGAGAAGCCTTCGAGGCCCTGAGGAACCAGGAGTAACCTGTGGGTTTTCAGGCATGGTGACAAGGGCTTGGGTCCCAGTTCTGCCCGTGGGGCTCTTACCTCTGTGTTTGTCATGGGAGCCCGTGCGCTAAGGAGTGTGAAGAAGGCAGTGCTTGTTTCCCCACCCACCTTAGAGACCCCTCCTCCAGGAGGAAGGGGTTGTTCCAGAAAAATTGCAAACCCTCCACCTCCAAGCCACCGCAGTCAGCTAGTATCAGCCGTTCAGTGCTGGTGTGAATTAGAGTGAGGACCAGGGCTGGAACCGCGAGGGGAGAGCTGGGGTAGGGCGAAGGGAAGGGCCGGTGCTGCACGGGACATTGGGGGCACATGCTGTGAAAGCAGAGGCTGTGAAATTGCATGTGTAGCGGGGTGGGGCTGGTGCAGGCCCAGCCCCTCACGGGCCCCCAGAGAGGCCAAGCTGGGTCCCATCTTTGCCCACGCTGTTGCCCTTTGCCTCCATAAAAATGGCTGGAGAGATGGTCCCCAGGATAGAGCCGGGGAATCAAAGCTCAGAGGGGAGCCGGCGGGTGGTCTCTGGGGGCTCCGCAGGAGCCCTTGAACAAATGGAGCCCAGGGTCTCCAACTGTGGACTAGTGAGTGTGGGTGCAGGGGGTCCGGGATGAACTCAAGCAGTTCAGGAGCTGCTGGGCACCATGACCCTGTGTCATGCATTGAACTGTGTCCCCCAAAAATGTGTGTCAACTTGGCTAGGCCATGATTCCCAGTATTGTGTGATTGTCCACCATTTTGTCATCTGATGTGATTTTCCCATGCTTTGTAAATCCTGCCTCTATAATGTTAATGAGGCAGGATTAGAGGCAGTTATGTTAATGAAGCAGGACTCAATCTATAAGATCAGGCTATGTCTTAAATCAATCTCTTCTGAGATACAAGAGAAGCGAGCAGAGAGATGTGGGGACCTCATACCACCAAGAAACAGGAGCCAGGAGAATAGCGCGTCCTTTGTACCCGGGATCCCTGCGCTGAGAAGCTCCTAGACCCGGGGAAGATTGATGACAAGGACCTTCCCCCAGAGCCGACAGAGAGAAAGCTTCCCCGCGAGTTGGCGCCCTGAACTTGGGCTTCTAGCTTCCTAGACTGAGAGAGAATAAATCTCCCTGTTAAACCATCCACTTGTGGTACTTCTGTTACAGCAGCACTAGATGACTAAGATCCTGGGAGAGAGAAGCCAGAGGGGGCTGGGGTGGGGCTGGGGCCGAACCTCTGACGCTGACCCTCTGGCCTGCCTTGGTTTGGACCTTGCCTGCCCAGATGCCAGCTTGCAGCTCTTGGAAAGAGGAAGTTCTGTGGTGTTTTCTTGCCTGAAAACCCACCCTTGTACCCCTTTGGGGGAGCGCTGCCCCTCCCTGAGCCGGGGCGGGCGTGGCTTCAGTGCCTGGCACACAGTAGGCCCTCATTAGTGGCAGGTTCCACCCCTCTCTGCTAGAGGAGGGGCTGGTGGGACCCTGGCACTGGAGAGGCATGGGAGGGGGTGCAGAGGGGAGAAGCTGGCCGCGGGGCCCCCTGGGCCTGGCACCCAGTAAGGATCAAGAATGTCGGTGGCTGTGATGATGATGATGATGAAGTCCCCTGCCTTTCAGAAGTCCCAGCTCCCCTACCAGCTTGCTGCACTGCCGTGAGCCTGCCTTTGATCCTTCTGGGCTCCAGGCCATCCCGGTCAGGAGGCCGTGAGCTGACAACCCCCAACCCCGGCCTCCCCACAAGGTCCTGGAGTCAGAGACTCTCCTGGGCTCTCCTCTCCTCCTGAGCCCCAGTTAGGGGTGGTGAAGACAGTACTAGCCTTGGAGTACTTGGGGACTCACACCGTGTCCTGGAGCAAGGCCTTTTCCCTCTCTGAGCCTCAGTTTCCTCATCTGTAAAATGGGGACCTAACCAGCCTTCCTGCCTCCCACACTGGCCTCTTTCTAGCACTCCGCACCTTGGGGGACAGAATACTCTTCCTAGAGCCAAGATGGGGGGTCCTGGTCTGCCTCCTCCTCCTGCAGCCTCCTGCACCCATCCAGGCCACCCCAGACAAGCAGGACACTTTTCTCTGTAGACGAAGGGCAAATGTGTGGCCCAGATTCCAGCTCCTTAAAATCATCCTGTCTGCTTCAGTGGTTGTGGCTAAGTGCAAGTGTGGAGCTTGGCGGCTGGTGGTGCCCCACCCCGGTGCCCAGACCTCCTCCTCCATCATAGACTCCTCCCCATGCACAAGTCTTGAAAGGGTTCATGGGAGCTCAGACCTTGACAGAAGGCGTGTGGGAAGCAGTCCTGGAGTCCAGCTTGGAGGAGGTGATCAGAGGCCCAAGCCAGAGAAATACCCCCTCCCGAGAGAGGGCAGGGAGAGATGTGAAAAGTCAGCAAGAGCAGCTGCTCAGTGTCCTGGGCCACCCCCGGAGGGGGGAATGAAGGGCTTGTGTCCAGGGAGATGGTGGTCCTGGGCTGGGAGGCCCAGTTTCCAGTCACCACGTGTCCTTGTTCCTGGTCTTCACATCTGTAGGATGAGGCATGAGCCCTGCCGTGTCCCCAGGGAGTGGGGGCTGTGGGGACATTGAAGTGATATTCACAGGGGAGGCACAGGGCTTTGGAGGAGACAGAGCTGCGTCTGATTCTGACTCTGCCATTGCCCAGCACGGCACCTACATGTTTCTCTCAACCCCCGAGCACCGTGAGATGGTAGACACAGACCCTGTCTTGTGGTTCCAGCATCAGCTATCACAGCACTGCTCACAGCAGAGCACCCCATGACTGTCAGGCCGTCTTGTTGTGAAGTCATGGATGCTCGGGCAGGGGTCCTGGAGAGACTCGACCCCCTCCCTTCCAATCATGTAAGATGGGTGTCTCCTGCCATTTCCCCTCTGTTCTTCCTCTTCCATCTCCGTGTGTGTGTGGACCTCCTCAGGGTGTTTTTTAGTCCTCCTGGGAAACCCCAGTACCTGAACAATCTCTGTCCTTCTTTCCAGGGAACCCCTTCTGGGGGCAAAATGGCCCTGGTGAGAAGCAGCTCCTGGCCATCCCTCTGAGTGTTCAACGGACTCCGTATACCCCAGGGATGGCAAATAATTGACACTCAGTCCACTGCAACCCATCTGAAGCCCATGGCAGACATTGCTAATCAACCACAGCACAGGGGTCTTAGGATCTTTCTCAATGCACAGCCCTGGGCAGCCATCACAGTCGATCAGGATGAACTCGATTTGCCACCCCTGGCACAGCAGATGACCTAGCATGAGCAGGGTACTCTGAGCTGCAGCCCAGTCTAGTCCTGAACTTTGACCCCCTTGCAGAGTCCACGGACTAGGCCTCAGGCCCATTAGCCAGGGCCTGAGTGAGGGCGCGCGGGCCAACGCCCAGGATGTGGTGCGCCGGGCCCTTGGTGTTCTTGTGCATGATCACCGTATCGCCGATGCCGGGCTCGTACTCCATGCCGCGCCGGTGGAAGAGGCCGCGGACGGTGGCCTGGAAGCCGCTGGTGACGAAGCAGTAGACGATGGGATCCATGCAGCTGTTGAGGCTGCTGAGGGTCACGGCCACGTGGTAGGCCACCAGGCTGGTGCGGCGTGGCAGGTCAGGCCACAGCACCACGACCACCTGGTGGGCGTGGAAAGGCGTGAAGCAGACGAGGAAGATGATGAGCACAGTGAGCAGGAGCTGCATGGCCCGCACTCGGCGCTGATGTCCCTGACGCAGCAGGCCCGGCCTCGACAGCGCGCACATGATGCGGCCCGTGAACACGCTGATGACCAGCAGTGGCAGGAGGAACTCCAGCACGGTCAGCGCGAAGACGCGGCAGCAGGGGGCACCGCCGGCCGCCACGCTGAGCACCGACAGGGTCACGGCGCCAGCCGCCAGCCACACCAAGGAACACACGACCCTGGCGCAGGCGGGCTGGCGCCAGCGGCGGGAGCCATCGGGCTGCACAATGGCCAGGTAGCGGTCCACGCAGATGCAGGTGAGGAAGAGGATGGAACAGTGCATGTTGAGAAAGTAGCTGAAGACGTGTGGGAAGGCGCAGCGCAGGCAGCCGCGGGTGCCGTAGAAAACGGCGAAGCGCGTGGGCAGCGACAGGCCCACCAGCAGGTCGGTCACCACCAGGTTGATGGTGTAAATGACTGACGGCGTCTTGGCCTGGGTGCGGCAGCAGAAGACGTACAGCGCCAGCCCGTTGAGCACCAGCCCCACCAGGAAGATGGCGCCGTGCACCGCCATCAGCGCCAGCCACAGGCCTGGGAAACCCGCGTGCAGCTCCTCGTCCAGCAGGGCGAACAGGTGGAACAGGGCCATCTCCGGCACGCTGCTGTTGGTCCCCGACGTGGGGCGAGCCGTGGCATTGGGGGTCGCCGTGGCCAAAGACCCTGCCAGAGATGTGAATGGCATGACAGCAGCCAGGCCTGGAAGGAAGGAGATGGGTTACCCAAGGCATTCGAGGCCCTGCCTGGAGGCCCAGATCCTGCCTGGTTCACCTGCCCACTGCATGCCCCACATTTCCTGCCCCACGCCTTTGCCCAGGCTGGTCCTGGGGCCTGGGGTGCCTGCTCTTCTCTCCACGGAGACCCAGTTCAAAGCACGGAGGAGGGATGGGCACTTGGATTCAGCATGGCTCAGATGCCATCTCTGGCACTCACCACTGAGAATCTTTGGCAAAATGCTACATTTTGGACCGGGTTCCTGAGCTGCAAGGAGGAGAAAGCTCTTGTCATTGGGACTGAGAGAGAAAGTAAGGTGACGGGCTGTGGTGCAGGGCAGACCACCAGCTGCTGGTGTGAGGCCCTGGCCCCAGCTAGAATCCTGACTCCTCCGCTTGCTGGCTGTGCATCCTTGGGGGCCACTTAACTTCTCTGTGCCTCACTTCCTAAGCTAGACACTTGGGGTCCTGGAGCTGCAGGGAGGATGAACTGACCTAATCTTGGCAAAAAGCCCGCCGTCCACTTGGAGCTTGGCACACGGTGGAAACCTCTGAGATGCTAGCCCCACACACTACACCAGGCCCATCATCACAGCCCCTGTCCTTCTGGCCACCCACCTGTTCTCGCCTCCTCCAGGCAGGCAGGGGGGAGCGCTCCGGATGAGGGCCCAGGGATGGAGAGCTGGGAGCCAGCCCCACTGGGCACCCCAGGGACTCCTCACCAGTTCCCTCCTAGCCCTGAGAGAGGGCCCACTGGTTATCACCCGGCCCACAGAGGCCACCAGGGCCATGTGGGGTGGCACGCTACAGCCTGTGCTGGAGTCAGGGCCGTATGCAGACACCCACCACCCACAGGGTGTGAGTAAAATAAACACTGAGCTTCCCTCATCCCGGCCTGGTGGGGCGGGCAGGGGGCTGGGGCTTGGGGGACAATCAGGGGCAGTGCGGGGATAGGGACTGGGAGCACAGAGAGGAGGTGGGCAGGGGGCTGGGCTGGGAGGACAAGAAGGGGCAGTGGGTGGGGCAGGGGCTGGGAGCTCAGAGAGGAGGTGGGCAGGGGGCTGGGCTGGGGGGACAAGAGGGGCGGGCGGGGGGCTGGGCTGGGGTCACCCCCTCTGTTTATGTTCCTGCCTTCTGGTATTTAACTCGGCAGCGATTTATCTCTTTATTTATAAACGAAGGGTTAACCGGACCCCACCCACCACCCCAGCTGGGGCTGATCCTCCAAATAAGGACATTTCTGGCTTTTTCAGGAGAAAGGCGAGGCCTTTCGGGAGAGGCAGGGAGGAGGGGCGGGCCGTAGGACCTTCAGGGCACAGTACCCCCTTCCCACCTGGAGAAGGAAGCCCCTGCCCGATAACGGCCCTCCTGGTGGCCGAGTGCCGTAAGCGGGGTGTACGCTGCAGCTCCGTGCCGACCACTGCCCTGCTCGGGTAACAGGCTCCCATGGGCAGCCCCCACCCCGGTGGCAATGAGGCACTGAGCCCTCCCTCTCAGGGGGCTGAGGACCCATGTCCAGCCTGGCCAGGGTAGGCACAGCAAAGGGAGCCTTGCTCATCATGGGTGGGAGAGGCCCACACAGGGAAGATGACTGGCTCCATCCTCAGGCTCAGAGAGGTCGCCGGCAGGGCTCCCTGCCCACTGGGACCTGACCCTGGTCATGTGCCCCCGGAGGCTGCTGGGAGGACCCACTGGTCACAGGTCCTCGGGCGGGCTCTCTGGGGACTGCCCTGCTCCCTCACATGTGAGGCCCGGTGTAGGTTTGAATCCACCTGTCCACCTCCGGCCCCTGGGAGAAGGAGCGGGATGAGGTCCTGGGGGCAGGGGAAATGTGCTATAGGGATGAGGGGGTGATAAGGCTGGGGCCTGGGGCTGTGGGCTTCATCCTCTGGGCTACAGGGAGCCCCAGAGGTCCCCAGGAAGGGGAGGGCTGCCATTCAACACGCCCTTCCCTACTGTGAAAGAACGGTGCCTCGGTGATGCTGGAAGGAGGGACCCACGGAGGCGCCTGGGATGGATGGCGAACCACACGCTTTCCCATCTGTCTGCACCAGGCCACGTTCATGCCCCAGCTGGACAGAGTAAATGCCACACATGCTCCCTTCCTCTAGAGATAGGCCCAGGATAGTGTCACCCCAGGGAGCCTGCCCTCCCGCCCTCCCAGGGCCAGCCTCGAGTGCTCCAGCTCCCCCCACCAGCCACCACACTGGGGGTCTGGGCCAGGGCTGCGGTGGCGCTGTGGCCTCCAGAGGGGGGGGTTCCTGCAGGACACTCAGGACACGCTAGAGCTCACTGTCAAGGTGGGAGGGAGTTGCCTGCAAAGCACACGCCACTTCTCAGCTCTGGGAGGCTGAACCCTGACCTCAAACAGAGCTCAGCCCCGATCTCGGCACACACTGAGCCCTGATCCTGGTCACACATGAGCCCTGACCTAGTCAGACAATAAGCCTTGGTCCCTGTCACAGTCTGAGCCCTGATCCCAGTCACACGCTGGGCCTTGATTGTGGTCACTCACTGAGCAGCGATCCCAGTTTGGGCACAGACTGATTCCTAATCCCTATTACACACTGAGCCCGGATACCAGTCACATGATGAACCCTGACTCTGGTCACTCACTGAGCCCTGATCCCAGTCACACACTGATCCCTGATCCCGGTCACACACTGAGCCCTGATCCCAGTCATATACTAAGCCCGAATCCCAGTCAAACACTGATCCCTGATCCCAGTCACACCCTGAGCCCTGACCCTGGTCATACACTGAGCCGCCTGGCCATTGCCTAGGCCCTCGCCCCTGAACCTTCTAACCCATTCATCTCTTCCCCTTTTCTCTCTACTGAGTCTGGCTGTCTCTACGTAATAAGCACCCCACCACACCCCAGTTCCCCGTTTCCCCACTCCCCAGCACTCTCAGCCCATTCCTCTGCCTCGCCTCCCACAGCGGCCTGGCCTACGTACAGATTTAACATCTCTGGGGCATCTACTCACGAGCCCTTTGTTTTGGAGGAGAAGGAACTCAAATCGTGGCACTCCAGCCCCATGCTTGAAGATGGGCCTTTTGGGTGGGATGGCCTGGTGACAGGGGAGAAGCTGGGCTGGGATGCCTGGGCTGGGCTGCCCCTTGTGGCCTCTGGAAGGACATGTTATGGGCCTTGGTCTCCATTGGTCTCTGTGGCCTCAGCTCTGCTAATCCCTTGATAGTTCCCTCCGAGGTCTCCCCTCCTTATCCCTGAATCTGCTTTTGTCAAGGGTAAACCCGGCTGGCAGGCTCCCTGGCCGCTCAGCAGTGTCCCCACCCGCCCCCTGCGCTCTCAGTGACCCACACCTGCCCTCCCTCTCACCTCCACCGTGGCCTGCTCCTCTGTCCTGAGTCACAGGGCCTTGTCCTCTGCCCCCCTCCCACTGTCTGCACCTGAACCCCCACCCGCCTGCTGGCCAGGCTGGGCCTTTGTCCATGCGCCCCCAGGAAGGTGGGCTCAGGGCCACGTGGGGTCCACAGGTTACCGCTGGCGAGGCTGGGGTAGCATTTGAACAGCAGCAGTAAGCCTGCCGCCACCGCTGATCCTCCACATGGACCAAGGGTATAGATGTGGCTTGCGGTTGGCCCCCACTCACCACTGGCAACTTTGGGGTTGTTAATCAACCCTGAAGCTCCCTATGGAACACCGTTCTACCCTGACACATATGGGGTCACCATGAGCCAGGGCCGACTCGACGGTGGCTGGTGGTTTGAATGATGTCACCACAGAACCTTCTTCCTGCCGTCTCGGCGTTTCCGGAGTTGGTCCATGTGAAGAGGAGGGTGTGGCGAGATTATAGCTGTCCCCCTCCCGCCCTGCTTCCCCCAGATGAGGAAACCGAGGCTCCAGGAAGGACTTGAGCCCGGTGCTTGTGAGGCGAGGACAGGTGGGCACCCAGGCCCCCTCCCACCGATGGGTGGGCATGGCAGTACCCCCTCCCTCCTCACTCGGCCTCTAAATATAGCCTGGAATGAGGGGAAAATGGCGATAGCCTGGGGAGGAGGATGTTCTGCTCCCCCATGGGGACAGCATGGCCTGGCCCTCAGGGGCCCAGGCTGTGAGCCAGCAGCGGTCAAGGCGACCTGGGTTCAAGGCTGAGAGGGGAGACACAGCCCTGTTCCGAGGCCAGTTTTGCCAGCCCAGGCCTGTGTCTAGGCAAGATAGTCCCGTCCCTTTTCTGGCAGGCACCCTGGGCCCTGGCCGAGGCAGAGCGGACCCTGTGACCTGAAGCCAGATGGCTGGAGCCCAACGGGCAGGGGCCAGTGCCATATTCTTTTAGTGCCCAGTGTGGAGCTGGGGCTGGGCCTGGAAATCGCTGCAGGCAGCCATCCCGGGCAGGAGGCTTCCACGCAGCAGCACTGTCCATGGACCCAGTGCCCAGGTCCACCCACCCACAAGTGGGCACTTCCCTGGGATAGGTGCCAGGGGCAGAAAAGAAGGACAGGGCCTGCTTTCCAGGGGCACAGTGGGCATAGACGCACCTGGGGGAGGGGTACTGGGGACTGGAGTGTAGCCGTCCAAAGCCTGGCTTTACCTCTAAACAGACCCTGGGACTTTCAAGTCTCTGAGCCTTGACTTCCTTAGCTCTAAAACAGGCGAAATTAGAGTCCACCTTTGAGGTTTGTGTGGATGTGTTGTCAAGTACACAGTAGGTGCTCAAACAACGGGGAGGTTTATCAAATGACAGAACAAGCTCCAGGCTGAGGGCATAGAGAATGATGACGGGGTGGGGGCATGAGTTCTGCACAGGGGCCGCCGAGGAGGACACTGCACAGGAAGGGTCTCCGAAGGATCTAGATGCAAGGGGGCATGGGGGACAGGTCTCTGCAGCCGAGGACACAGATGAGCAAAGGTGAGGAGGAGGAAGAGGCGGCCCCTTTTGGAGAACTGCGGGAGGGGTGGAGGGGGACTATGCGCCAGGCCTGCAGGTGGACTCTGCTCAGCCCCCACCCA